ACATTTCACTGTTCATGCGTTTCATACAAATCCCATTGTGTTCCCACTCTTCCTTTCTTGATCTTCCCCCATCTTCTGCTGCCAGACATTACGTTTTTACTCGCGTCATATACTACTTATAAGTAGCGCGCATCACACCAATACTTGTTTCTTCAGCTGTCATTGGAGTATCATCCATTAGTCTCCTGAATCGTGTTAGCCATTGCATATTTTGATGAATCATTTAGAATTTACGGTATGGATATTGTGAACCAGTTAGTGTAATGATGAGAAGCGCCTTTGAATTTGAACCCGATTTTCCCTCTCGATTTGAATTGTACTAGAAGCATAGCCACACTGTGGTGCTGCGGTGCGAGCTGTTTGTAAGTAGTAAATGATGTGAGCATCAACGTAATGTCTGGCAGCCGAAGATAGGGGAAGATCAAGAAAGGAAGAGTTAGAAAACAATGGAATTTGTATGAAACGCATGAATAGTGACAATGGATTGATGTTTTGCAACAGGAACAGTCCAGTTCCATATGATGGACTGTTATTTTGCAAATGAACGATTTACGATATGGTTTTCCAATTTTACTGAGTAAATCTGTAATTTTCGTTAAATACAATTCGGTTGCCCCACCTGGGTTCTCCTTCACTACACACAAACAAAATTAAGTTTATTCAAATAACTAATATCAAGCATTAGTCCAGATTGTTCAGTTTTTATCGCATGAAATGCAATGCTATGCATTGAAGAAAAGAAAATAACTGATTTCGATACAATCTACACGAAAGCAAAAGTACTTCTTTCCACGTGACTAAGTGTAATAATCCAAATTTGTTTGTTTAATTTTTTCATCGAATTGTTCATGCACAAAAACATTCCATTCTGCTCAGATTATGTTCAATGTTCAATGCCAAATTATTGGTGATAAAAAATATCATTTGTTTTTTGTTTTGTTTTTTTGTTTCGAAAATTGTGCAAAACTCGAGTAAAACTGACGCCATTTTTGTAGTGATTTGCCAAAGACATGTTTGTCTGTTTGTTTGTTTGGCGCGAAGTGCTAACGCAAATCATTTAAAAATCATTCAAAAAAAACCAATTACACTACTCTTTGTGGCTTATCGATCCAACGCTAACATACCCAGTCATGTTATTCAGTTAGTATACAATGACTTGTAATTTACAAAATTAGCTGACTACTCACTGAATAGTAAGTATGTAGTGAAGGTGAACACAGGTGGGGCAACCGAATTGTATTAAACGAGAATTACAGAGTTATTCAGTAAAATAGGAAAACCATATCGTAAACGGTTAATTTGCAAATCTTCAATCAATCATCAATCCATTGTCTGACATTTCACTTATTCATGCATTTCATACAAATTCCATCGTGTTCCCACTCTTCCTTTCTTGATCTTCCCCCATCTTCTGCTGCCAGACATTACGTTGACACCCACGTCATATACTACTTATAAGTAGCTCTCACCACAAGTATTCATTTTTAAAGTATCTATTTCATTAGACGCATGTCTTTCAAGTGTTTTAGCATTGGAATAGACGCTGTTCCAAGGTAATGACTTCCAATATACTTTAGGATATCTATTTGACTGATTACAATTCATATTAAATCCTAAGCTCGTTTTCGCTTCTGTGAGACGTGCATTAAACTTCAGGAACTCATTGAGTGCCTTAAATGCATGCCAAATTCATGTTTCTCTATTTGTTTACCGTATTTTATTCAAATCCTATCGAATAAGTTATGATACAGCGACTAGACTAAATGATCTGATATGATGCGTACTTTATTTTCATATAAGATGTTGGGATGTAGTCGGTATGGATTCAGTAAGCATGAAACTGGCTACTACTCAGTGATCAATCAATGGGCGTACAAGATATCAAGCATAATTCAAATTCCTAATGATAATGTCTGAAACTATGTAGAGTTTGTTGATCAGAGTTCGGATCGATACAGGAATCATCAGTTTCTTCGAAATCGTAGCTATCTATTCCTGTTGAGTGTTGATAATCAAGAAACCTATGCTAGTATTTCTCTATTGACTGCTTTTTTTAGTCTATGCATTGTGGTGCACAATAGTCATGGGTATCAGTTATTCAGTAGCATGAATGTGACGTCTGAATAATATAAGGTGCCTGTATCAACCCGAAATCCAATTGAGAATATGGGAATCCATATTCTTTATTAACTGTATAGTATAAATATCTACTGACGATACGTTGGATGTGAGCTTATCGAACAATACTGGTCTCCAGATGCCTTGAGAAGAATGATCCCCAAAGACGAACAATGAGAAGAAGGAAAACAGTATACTTGACTGTAGGCAAAGGCAGTGAAATGTACGACCTATAAATTATCTACGAATGAGGTATTAAAAAATGTGCATTGGCCTCCAAGGAGTTAATTTGTTTGACAATATGACTCTTTACCATTAAGTTAAGTTAATCAGATTAGTGAAAACAGTGCTCACGTGAACATTAACATTTACTATGTGGATAAGTTTATTTTAAATGAAAACGTTTTTTATTTGCATCATACCACTTGAATAACAGAAACCATTTCAATCAGATTTTTGTATCGACTAACGATGACAAGAAGAGTGCTATTAATTTCTGGTTTAGAAATTCTAGTTACGTTAGAATGCAAACAAAACTCCGCCTGGCGTCCCTGTGGGGCCTCTGCCGGTCCCAAGTCCTTAAAAGGAGGAGGAGTGGGCATGGGATTGGCGACCCTCATTCCACAAAATAAACTGACTCGCTAAAAAACGCTAGACTACAAAAATTTCGATTTAAATACGTATTGTTTGAGTAGTGGTTTTGTTACAAACTCTTCAAATGTTACAAATGAAAAGAAATCTATGGTCCATGCGAACGTGGTTGGTGTTAGGATATAACACTAACTATTAATAATAATCAACCTTCGAGCAACCAATAAGCAACCCTTGATTACTGGTATCAACTAATATTATGCTCATCGAGTCTTGAGTACTGACTAAATTCTATCAACTAGTCACTAATTTAAACAACTCATTATCGTGTCAACTATACCTTGATGTTTAGAGATATATAAATTTTGCACAAACTAACACTCATCTTGAGGCTTCTTCCTGTTAGGAACTAGTGATCTACATGAGATGTACACTAGCCTTGCCCACTATCATTATCAGGATTGTTGACACACGATTATTTCCAATATGGTTTCCTATTAGAATTACGGGACTTAGTGAGAGAATCTAATCAGGTGTAAGGATTAGATAAACGTAACATTAGTTGTTACTCTGTGATACATTAATGCGAGTCATTCATATAATCGTAGTTCTAGTAACTCATTGGTGACATTCCTAACTGACATGGTTTCAAATCCCATCAAAATCAACTTGTTGCATTGAGCTTCCCACATATTCAATCTATCGTTGACTTCTAAAAATAATGAAAATTGGCCATTGGCTAAAAATTCTCCTCCAATCAATGTATGACTTTCAGTGTTAGTCAATCATTTGACCTGATCAGCTCATAATGAAATCTAATTTTCAGATTTTATTCCTAATCATTGGTCATTTCGAATTCTGTGCTTTATTAACAACTGTATCAATTTGCAATAACTCATCTTCTTCATGGGAAAAAACAACACCCATATTCCACAAAAGTAAAAATATAACACCGAATACTTTTTTCGTATCATTTACAACAATTACAGTACGTACGCAAATCGGTTTACACTTTCTGCTTAAATGTCAAATAACAGTTAAATAATTATCTATCTATCTAAGTGAAAATATATTTAGAAATCTATGTACTTCTACTACAGACATTTACGTTATGCAGGGAAAAAAATATATATATCTATGTGTATATACAAACTTTTGATTGGACTAAACGATTGTCACTGGAAAAAAATGGTCAATGGCTTCTCATTGCTTGAATTGGATACACACAGTTCAATGATCTATGTTAACAATTATTATTGATTTATCGAATTATTTTCGTTTTTTCAAGCAAGGAAAAAAAAACAATTTAATAATTACCACTGTGTGATCTGTTTTTTTTTTCATCATGAAATGATATACAGTTCTTATCATTAATGTCAGTAATCACAGCCATACACATTCACTTATCTAGTGTAATATACAGTGCTACATACGCACAACAGAAATTTACTAGCACTGATGGGAAGTAGATTGAAGTATTGGGGAATTTTATCCAATCTCTGTTACATAATAACACAGTAAATATGTCAAATTAAATAATAAAACATTCAAATCAATTATTAACACAAGGATTATTTTTTTTCCAGTGATACTGATATTATATTTATGATGATTATTTCACGTGACCGATTGACTGACTGACTGACTGACTGATTGACTGACTGGATGAATGAATGAAGTATCGCGTCACATGAAAATCTCTTGGTTTCTTAACAACTGGATTGAACAATATATTTTTGCAATAAACTAAGTCAATTGATTTAATCGTAACATATACCTAAAAATCGTTTGCACAAAAAAGGTGTATGCACAAATCAAGTGAAGTGTATGTTTCAAATTTGAGTGTGTGTGTGTGTGTGAGCGTGTGTAGTATGTATTTGCACTTTACACTTTTGAGCAAAGTCCGATCGAATTGGTTTGTTTGTTTTTTTTAAAAAATATTATAGACAACTGACTAGATTTGAGTGAGTGAGGCCGAGAAAGCTAAAACAAATTCAATTTGGTCATTGTTACGAGACATAATTGTGTTGTTGGCTATAAGTTGACATTCATACACACATACGTACACGTAGAAATCTACACAGGCACACACACACAGACTTATATAGATTGAAGACATTCGTCGATTCTGTTTCTCTGTGTGTGTATTTTAATCTACAACCGACGCACTATTGTACATTTGTCTAACACACAGACACTACACACATACACACACTGGACCTAACATGTTAGTGTGCACATGCACATGTACTTAAATAATACACACTAAAAAAACTATTACTATTATCATTATTATTGTCAGCGTTACACTGACATAATAATAATTATTATAATCTTTAGGCCTATTTAATTTCCAATTCTGATATACATATTCCTACAGAAAAATGGAATCCACAGAAGTGATCCATTGTTCAGAGAATCCAATTGTACAAGAAAATAATATCACGACAATTACAACAACAACAACAACGTTTACAACCTCAACAACCAATGCAACTATTCCTGCAGATAATCAAACAAATGACATTCATGATGACAATTCAAGTGAAGCATTCATCAAGTCATCTAATGAACCAAATGTTCATTCACATGAAATGATTCATTTGGAATCAAAGAGACATAATAATAATGAAGTATCGGATTATTTACAAAATCATGACAAAACAAATGAGATTGTAAACAATGAAACAATGAATCCTCACAGTGATACAATAAATTCTGAAATGAAACTTGATGCGTCTACAGAGAATACTCATGTAAATGACCGGAGTAACAATGAAACTCACGTGGAAACAACTGGACAACAATGTTTAAAACTTAACAATTTGGCGGAAAAAATTCCAAATGATCACACAGAAGAAGCAAATTCTTGTGGTCCAGTTCAATTAGAATTATCTGTGACGGAAAAATCACCGGATTTATCGATCCATGAGGTGACCAGTAATAATTCGTCAATCAGTCAATCCGCTGGACATCATGTTACATCAGAAGAAGAGGAGCAGTCGCCTGTAAATCATGCCAATGAGGATGATGATACTCATAATGCGAAGCATCCATATCGACCTCCACCGCCAAAACTAGACCATACCAAACATACATCAGCATCTCTTTCAAACAGTGGAGGTGAGAACGAGGATGTAATGAAAATAGGTGATAAGCAGAATGGCAAATCACAGGTAGCTGCTACTAGTAATACTGATCATAATCATGATACTGATCATCATGAAACTAATCCAAAGACTTCCTCTGTACAACAACAACAACAACAACCTGAGAAAATGGATGACGATCATGAATCACAGCATTCTCATCATAAACATTCAACAATCAAATCAAATATAAAGCATGCTTTTAGTAATCTAAGGAAAAGTTTTAAACGCAAAGATAAACCATCATCATCATCATCAGTATCAGTTAAACGTGTAGTTGATCAGCCTGAAAATAATGTGGATCGTTATCAGTACACTAGTCAACAATCTATGAAAACACAGACACAGCACAATTATAATGATAGAAATATTGATCAAAGAAATAAACAGCCAACTTCTCCTGTTCATCACCATGATCAATATTATCGAGATTCTGATGTAGTACGCGATGATCAATCACAAATATCGAATGCACAATCGTTGAATATTGTAAGTTGACAATTTTCCTATGTGGGGAGAGATAAATTTTGGTCTTTATGAAGATATATATATATATATAATTTTTGAAACCGTGAATCGATCAATGTTAGACCACCATTAGAAACCTGGAAGCACTGGACGGCCGTTTCATCCTGGTATGGGACTCCTCAGCAGTGCGCATCCTGCGAGGTGCAGGAGTCGTGGATGCGCACTGCTGAGGAGTCCCATACCAGGACGAAACGGCCGTCCAGTGCTTCCAGGTTTCTAATGGTGGTCTAACATTGATCGATTCATGGTTTCAAAAATTGTGTAACTTAACAATCTTCACAACCCCGTAATGCATATATATAAATATAAACTTTTATTTAAGTTCATGTGGTCAAATTATTTGGAAGAGTGGTAAATATCAGGAGACAAGGTAGCAAATTGTCTCATTTTCATTCTAAAAATACAAATTCACATTTAAAATTTTTATGTATGTGACAGCCTGACAGACTGAATTTTAGGTAGGTATGATACATTTAGACTATGAGGTTATTTGTTATTCAATGGACTTTTTTCTCAATCCATTGGGTAATTTCTCTCTTTCATACTTAACACTTTTCAAGATAAAAGTTTTAATTCATTCATCTAACAATCGACTATTTATTGAGTAGTAATCAAGGTTAACTTTAATTTAGTCAATAAGGCTTAACCCAATTCTATCGATCAGGTTAAAAATTGAGCATTAGTCTAAACAAAAAGATATTATAGTGTGTTTGTTAGTGATTCTCCATGAGGTTTATCTATAAGATGACTTACTTATTTACTTACACCTATTACCCCCAACGGGACAAAGGCAACCTTCTCTGTCCTAGGCCTTCCTTTACAGTTCTGTCCAATTGTTGTTCATTCTTCTCATGTCTGTCTTCATTTCTCGGTGTTATGTTTTCCTTTCACCTCGAGGGTTACAAGTTAGGACTCTTGTCTTGTCACGTAGTTAGGCTGCTTTCCTCAATGTATATCCTGTCCGCTTCCAAGCGCTTCTTCCTGATTTCCTCATTCCACTGGAATCTGATTTGTTCTCTCCCACAGAAACTGATACTCTTGAATGAAGTGAAACTTGTTTTTTGTGGGATTTGACAGTTTCGATGATTGATTGCACCGTTGACCTTATAGTAATTGCTTTACCAGACTCTTTTTAATTATTTGATGTTTGAAAAGATGAATTCTGTGGCTTCCACTTCATAAGTAATCATTGATCACCTCTGAATATAGTTCTAATAGTTAGTGTTTTGATGTTAATCACAAAAAGCGATTCGAATATGAAGTAACTTTCTTTTGTCCAAAATTAACTTTCATTTTTTAAAAATCAACGAGTTCAAATCTCCCACTTCATAAATACTATTTTAATTAAGTGGCTACGGTAGTATAATTTCACTGAAATGTATTGATCATACAGAATTTTTCTTTAAACGGACTGATCACAAAGCGGTAATCAAATTTTTATTGTACAACTACTGTAGTGAATGAGAACACAGGTGGAGGCAACCGAATTGTATTTAACGAAAATTACAGAGTTACTCAGTAAAATCGGAAAACCATATCGTAAATCGTTCATTTGCAAAGGATCAGTTCATCCTATGGAACTGGACTGTTCCTGTTGCCAAACATCAATCCATTGTCACTCTTCATGCGTTTCAAACAAATTCCATTGTTTTCTGACTCTTCCTTTCTTGATCTTCCCCCCATATTATGCTACCAGACTTTACGTTGACACTCACGCTATATACTACTTATAAGTAGTTCGCATCACAGCACCACACTACTACTAATAATAATAATCATAATTTTTGGGCCAATCGATTGCCATTCATCAAAATTACAATGCGCCTCGTCAATGAATCACTTCAGTTTAGCAGCATATTCTAACTCATTTTTCAAAAAATAGAATTTAGTCAACATTTAGTGTGATATTCAGTGTGAATTGTTATCAACAAACAAACAGAATGACTTTGATCTTTTATCATAGAAAATGTCCTAGTAAAAATACTTTTGTGTGCCGTTCGATCGGTTGAAAAATTGATGGTTAGCGTTTGGTAAGCTTTTTTTTTGGCAAGTTAGTTTTTTGACTGGATGGAGTAGCCAACCCCATGCTTAACCCTCCTCCTTTATCCGGGTTTAGGACCGGCAGTAGACCCGAAACATCTGCAGGCGGAATTTTAAAAATTAATGGAAAAGTTGATCGTTTTTAGCAGGAAGTGAAAGTAGTCACTTTTGTATAGTTTCGTCCTCTGAGATGGATGTCTTGGTTGTAGAGTTTTCATTGTTCTTCTTCTTCTTCTGAACAACATCATCAACACTAACTTCAGGTAGAAGAACTGAAGTATGCGGATTTCTCCACGTGAATAACTCGTAGCTTATTCTATTGACCTCACTCTTGCTTGGTTAGGTTATTGACCGTAAACCTGTCATTTCCTACATCAACATCAAAGTCAACAGAACAAGTTACGAGTCATATATGTGGAGAAATTTGAATACTTCACTTCTCCTCTACCTGAAGTTTGTGCTGATGATGTTGTTCACGAGAAGAACAATGAAAGCTCCACAGCTAAGAGATCGAGATCAGACACTGAAACTCCATCACAGTATATATATATATATATATATATATATATATATATATATATATATATATATATATATATATATATATATATATAATTATTTTGTCAAAGGCTGATTGATTCACAGATGAACTGGTACACCTAGAAATACTAGAACAGATAACGATTTCCACCCATAACTGTTTTCCGTGGTTCTATTATAATTTCATTTTCCTTTAACTCTTCGATAAATCTATCGATTAAAATTTACTAGGCGATCATGAATTTCCAGGAAAACTATTTATGACTGTAAGAAAGACATTGAACACTAAAACTTTTAGCTTGAGCATATATTTGTATGCAAATTATTGACGTTGTTTAAGTGACAAAATTGTTCTACTCTTAAAAGGCTTCCTTTTATTTCTTATTCTGATTTACTTAATGCCATTTAATAACTCAAATTAGCCGCACAATCATGATAAGGATCTTTCAAGCTTTTCTTCATATAATCATACTTTAACCACACAAAAAAGGGAGTAGTCATATATTTTTAAATAGTGAAAATAATTTCAATTATAGTTTGTTTTATTTCAATCGTGTAAATATATGAAATGAATTGAGCGAATTGCTCTTCACAAACAAATTTAATGGTTTCCATTGTAAACCACTTTACTTTTCTAAAGAAAATCTTTGACAAATTAATCAATTGAAATTTACAACAGTTTCAGTTGTTTAAATGTTGTGTAGATTTTCGGGCAGAGTTTTGGAGGTTTTGCGTTTTTACACATTTGAAATCATCAATCAATCATTGTTAGACAACCATTAGAAACCTGGAAGCACTGGACGGCCGTTTCGTCCTGGTATGGGACTGACTCATCAGCAGTGCTCATCCACGACTCCTGCACCTCGTAGGATTCGAACCCGGGACTTTCGGTACTGTGCGCGAACGCCTAACCATCGGACCACTGAGCCAGTATCTAACGGTGTTAATGTCTAACTCTGATTGATCTACGGATTTTTTGCGCGACCTAACCCATTTGTCTTTGGTAGTTACTGCCAACTACACCCGACAGGGTTGAACTCCACTAGTGGTCACGTCTTCTCAACTAGTACTCTGAGAATTCGCTCACGAAGCTGGTTGTCACTAGTGAGCACTGTTACGATATTTTCGGGCAGAGTTTTGGAGGTTTTGTGTTTTTACACATTTGAAATCATCAATCAATCATTGTTAGACCAACATTGTGAAGATTGTTGAATTTTTCACTGAAATCATGGACTGGTCAATGTTAGGCCATCATTAGAAACCTGGAAGCACTGGATAGCCATTTTTTCCTATTATACGACTCATCAACAATCCACATCCATGACCCGGCGAGTGAGAATCGAACTTAGGGACTTTGGTTTTATGCGCAAACGCTTAATCTTTTGACTACGGAGCAGGCATCAAGCGTTCACGAAATTGTCAAACGTAAAATTATTCATAGGTCCTCAACAGATATTTATTGAATTAGGAAATCCAGCTCTCCAGTAGATTTTAACCTTGAACTCATAAGCTAACCCTGACACCAGATTACTAAAGGTCATGTTTAACAGGTTGTTAGAATTTACCGCAAAAGTTTTACTAACATTAAAATCATTACGCATTAGGAACACCAACATTTTCTTAGGTTTGACTTCATTTTCAATGTTCTGCTTGTATAAAAGTACCACTGAACTATTGTAAAACTATTCATTTAAATTTAGACAAAACATCCACGAATATCTAAAATGATGGTCTATATTTTGAGGATTCAGCTTTTTAGGATCCAAATGTAACCCTCATAAAATAGCAATCTATCCATAAGAATAAATGATGCGTTTGATTAAATGCACGAAAACAGATCAGTTAATTTAAGGATGACGTTGTCAACAATTCAGTTTAGTATATTTTATGGAGTGTCGATTTGCTCCTTGAAGCGTATGGATTCAAATCAGTAAGTCGTGGTCTATAACTTACTCCTATCTAATTCAAGTTGTGCAGCCCAGTTGAAGACCAACTTCGATGCGCATCGTGTGATTGTGGACTGTGGATATTTCTCGTCCTAAGACAGAAACAGCTGTTTATAATTTCTAATTTCTAATTATTTGTCTAGCTAACATCGTCCTGTGATGTAAAACATTCAATCTAACAGTTGATACCACATCCTGTAATGACAAACTTCGGATCGATTATCATTTTTCATTAAAATCATGAATCGATTGTTGTTGGACTAGCATTAAGAACCTGGAAGCACTGGTCGGCCGTTTCGTCCTAATACAGTACTTTTCAGCCGTGCGTATCCACGATCCCTGCTACTCGCGGGAATCGAACGCAGGACGTTTGGTCTTGCGCGCAAACATTTCACCTCTAGACCACTGGGCCGACATCCAATGGTGTTAATGTCT